TTTATATGGGATCACCCCTGAGGTACCCCCTTACTTACAAAAAAAGAATCATACAAATCGTACAAAATAGTAAAGCATTATCGCTAAACATACATAAAAAATGAAGAGTTTGAGGATTTTATCATAGACCCAATTTTTAGATTTTGACCAAATTTATATGAGACTACCCCTGAAGTAGCCCCTTTCTAACAAAAAAAGAATTATTAAAATCGGACACCGTGTTAAAGAATTATCGCTGAACATACATAAAAAAAAATATCGCGACGAATTGATAACCTCCTCCTTTTTTGAAGACGGTTAAAAATATTCCACATGTGATATTCGCTGTAACAGAAGTGAATGACGAAAACCAACTGGTACCTCCAGAAGTACCTTTTGGAAAATGTTCAGAAAATGCTGACTACAAAATAAAATATTTGGAACTACTTTCAGAATTTATTAAAATAAATAAAAGGATCCTTTCTTATGAAAATTAATGCACAATTCAGAAAGTTAGTTTTTAAAATAAAGTTAGTAGGCTACAATAGTCAAATATTATAGAAACCGGATGCAAGGCAAAACGTATGTTGGAAAAGGACGTTTAAAAATGGCTAGCAATTTATTGAAAACGATTTTTACAAAAAATCAGGTAGATAATCTTAAAAACATTGTTATATTGTACAGTTTTTATTATTTTTTTTATTTCAGTTAAATTTGTTGTTAAAAAAGAAAAGCAAGTTAAATGGACTTCAAAAGAAATTAGTATAGCATTTACTTTGCGATATTATAGTAAAAAAAGCTATTTATATTTGAAAAATAAACTTCATTACCCATTACCATCATTGTTTTTTGCAATAATTTAAAATCGTATTTTTCAATATAAAAGTGTATATTTGTATGTAAGTTTGAGGTTATGAGTAGTATTTCATGACGTCATTTGACAGTCTGACATATATATTTAAGTGGCCCATCCTTCTCTTTAGTTTGTCATCCTTGAGATTTACCTACTCGTAAAAGTGATATCTATGCTTATATCTCAAGATTTTATTATACAAAGTGTGCGGAAATTACGTGAATATGGAGCTACCACAGATTTATGAAGTTAGTGCAGAGGAAAGAAGGACAATCTTATACATGGGTAGCTATTCTTAAATTCGAAGGAGGGGACAAATGGTTTTTCTCTTTATCTGTAAGGCAAAAATTTGTAATTTTGTCTCACTTTTCCCTCAAAATGTCTACTACCTGAGTTTCAAGAATAGGATTGTTTAATTAAAAAGTATCCATCTAAAAGCAGTAAGAAAGGGTTCAGAAAGTTATCACAATGTACTTAAAGAACAAGATCCAATGATTTAATGTAATCATTCTTTTACTTATTTTTATCTAAGAACTTGCAGTTCATAAGTTTCAGTAGCTTTTTTTTTTCATTTATTGGTCTACAACAACTTCTTGTCAAGTGTTGGTGATGAATTAATATTTTAATGCTAAAAATGTCTGCTGGAGCTAAAGACTTACTAACAACTAAAGGAAAAGAACTAAACGAGGCTATCAAAGATCAGAAAACCTACATATTGGCCCAGCGACATGAAAATGCCAGACTTTCTGGACTTTTTTTATTTCCAAAAATATTGTAGTAAATTTTATAAAAATAGAACTTAATCCCACATTGACGAACAAACATATAGAGGAGGAAAGATTTCAACTTGAACTTGCTGAAAAAAATGAATTAAAATTATTCTAAAGAAATAATGGATTTAATACAAAACAAAAGAAAGGCTCGGATGAAGTGGCAAAAAATGAGAACCGAAGAGAATAAAAATAAATTAAATAGACTAAAAATTAAAAATGAATCAACTAAAAAATATCTGAGAGAGCTCACAGATGACCAAATCATTGATTACTCATTATGGAAAGCTATTAAAAAAAAAAAAAAACAACAAACCAATTCAAGTCTTACCTCCAATACTAACAGAAAATAGGATGTGGGCAAAAAGTTATAAACAAAAAGTTGATGCCTTTACCAACTATTTAGAACGCATATTTTCCACCCGAACTCAGGAGAAGGTGAAGAAATTGAAATGGACAACCAAGAGGAAGTTAGTGATATAGAGAAACTATTACTTACTAGTCCTAAAGAAGTACAAAGAGAAAAATAGTATTAATGTAAAAAAAGCTCCCGAAGTTCGATCTGATCCTGGAGAGATATTAAAAAAAAAATAACACGAAAATGTTTAGTAAAACTGATTAATAAAATTAATGCAGCATTTAGACTTCAACATGTTCCACTACAATGGAAAAGTGCTGAGGTAATAATGATACCCAAACTAGGAAAACCCAATAATAATGAAATAACATCTGATAAAATTAACTCTTTGTCGCCACAAGAAATGGCACAAGATTAAGAAGAATTGTCCAAAGAATGGTATCACTTAATATTAAATAAAAAGGACTTTAATTTACTTGCTTATGCTTCAAATATTAAATGGTATTCTATTTGTCGATGTCATCTAATAGCAGACGAGGGTAGTACAGCACATGAACATCTTCAAGCTTTAATACATTTTATTAATGGATTTAAAATGTTAGCCTACAAAAAAAACTACAGCGCACTGGTACACGACTCCATTCAAAACAACTTTCAAGAAAATAATTTGTTTGGACCATGCTGTTGGTGTCTTCAGATACATCACCTGTACCGATGGACAAAAGCCGCTTAGAAGGGATGGAGATGGTCTTAGGGGTACGCCTCATTCTTATTGCGATAAAAAAGTATTCACACAAGATTTGTTACATTCCCGAGGAAAACAGTGTTGCTTAGTACGCACAGAAATGGTGGACGCACGAGGCGCTGTTCGCCACTGATCCAATAAATTCTCGAGAAAGCAACCGTATACTTAGAACACTTGTAAAATTTAAACAAAAATGAAAGAGGAGGCTGACATCGCGGGGTTGAGTGCATGTTTTATTATTTTATCCGAGATAATAAAGAAAAACGAAAGAAAGGAATCGATGGCCCATTTCCTGCCAAGGACATTCTTTTATTAGGGTGTTCTTATAGAACTGGCGCTTTGTTCTCTAAAGATATCACGCCGGTTATTTAAATTCATGGGAAGCAAAAAATTTTTCTGGTTCCACTCCATGCAAAATAAATCCTCGTCCAGACTAAGCACGTACTACGCATTGCCTTTTTTTGATATACAAACGGATCGGAGCGAGACCGTACGGCCCACACAACGAGGCAATTTGCTGCCCCTCGGAAGCCTGTTCACATCTGTATGCTCATGCGTCCTCGGTTTGCCTTATACGCATACGTGCTCAGATCTATACCCGTCTTTACGCCAAACTCTTCAATTCTACGTCTATTCTCTTCGCTAGACATATCTAGACTATTCGGAGAACGGACTTATGTTAGACGCCTTAGGCCGCTCGACCAACCTGGCTATTACAATTTCAGTTATTTTAGTTGAAGTACTTTGCGTTTGAAACGATACCTTCGATACTGCCCCTTTGGTAAAAACGAAACGTCAAGCGAAACGTCAAATAAAACGCCAAACGAAAAGTTCAAACGAAACGTCAAACGAAATGCGAAACGTCAAACGTCAAACAAAAACGTCATGCGAAACGTCAAATGAAACGTCAGTTTTTCTCTTCAACGTTTAGGTATGCTATTTTCTCTACATAATACCGATTTCCTCGTTTAAATCGGACCAATAATAGCAAAGATACAGGCTTAAGTCCTTTTGACTTTGCTACTGCGCAGGATTTTTCTATTCGTCGTTAATCTATACCACGCTCTCTACATAGTGCTGTTTTCCTCGTTTAAATCAGACTAATAATCATAAAGATATAGACTAAGCCCTTTTTGGCAATCGCATGATTTTTCCGTTCTACATTAATAGAGATTTAATTCCCCCCACCCCTCAACTTCTCCACTCCACCACTCCCCCTCGCTTTGTCTCGCTCTTACCCAGTAAATATGTACCTCTTAGTCTTACACATTCAATTCCCTATGTGAGCCCATGGTGACTTTTTATATCTACTCTCCAAGTTGAATCAATTCCAGAAGAAATTAAGAACATTGCCAAGAGACATGAGGAGAGGCTCCACAAACACATTAAGAGGGAAAGCCCACTCGCGCGACTGATCGCGACGCATCTCGCGAGGCAATACTTTTGATGTTTTTATCTCATTTATAGCGATTTATAAGATTTTAGGCAGATATTTGTATTATATTGTTATAAACTTTGTTCCATGTGAGTGGTATTAATGAAAAAATTACCCATTTTCGAAGAACTGTATCTTGAGAACCAATGGCTGTATAGAGTTCGACCTAGTTTTAAATTGTAAAAAATTTAGTCTTCTTTAAAAGTATTTGAAGTGACTATACAGGTTAGACTCTTCCTTCACTGAGATATTGAGCAAAAAGTGAAAAAAGTTCGAAAATTTTATGGTTTTTTGGATCCAGTGCCGCTCGCACAGCACTTTTAAAATTGTAAATCTGGTTTTTACTGGTTAAGGTCCTACCAACATAAAAAAAATTAGAACGACCTCACATTTTGTGAGTACGGATGTGTACATCTTGATTAATGAGTTTTACTAAAGCTTTTTACCAATAAATAAAATAAATATATGTATAAAAGATAATTAATAATATACTTTATTATTTACAACTGGAAACAATCGTTGTTATCCTTACATATATTTATCTCTATCGGCATTCTCAAGAAGCAATAAATTAAAAAAACGGCGCTAGCTAAACTGTGTTGGCCCGGGGATTATGGTCGGATTTTCGAAAAAAAATAAGGATTGGTTAAAATTCACCTATTTTAATTATCGATCCCTGATTAAAAGATTATTTTCAAAGAGATGCAGTTTAATAAAGTTGATACAGTGACGTGATCTACGGTATATAGTGAACTAAATATTTAACTAATTGACTAAGTAGTGAACAGTCTATTGATTCGAGGCACCTTGGATGTTGAAAAATTAGGTCAGCCAAATTTGTGATTTACTGGATGACTTACCTTTACAATACAAACGGCTTCCATTACAAGTTTAACACCTTTTGGTGGATTTTTCATTGCTTTAACAAGACTGATATCTGCGGGAGTCAGAGTATTTAAGGCATCTAATGCCGCTTCTAAAATTGGCATAGCTTCAGCCAAATTCATGTCACAATCATCTTTTATTGCCTGCGCCTCTAAAATAAAATAATTTATTTCCAATATAATTTAAATCAATGCAAATTCGTATATCAAAGAAATTTAATGGCAACTGAAAAGACATATTTGATATCATCTCCTAAGACATGATATAATGTGGGTGGGATATTCCCATAAGTCAGACGATACCATCAATTATTTATAAGTAAGGGGTTCCATGACAAACATTAAAATTAAAATGACCTTAATCATCTCCAAAACTTACTTTAAACGAACGTAAGACATACTTTTCAGTGCATACGATCAATATTATACGGAAATTCTTCGTACAAACCTTTGGCTTGTTCGCCAGCAACAACTTCATCTGCTTGTATATTTTTCTCAACTACCGACGCATCCTGTTTCTGTTCCTCGACAATTACCATTGTTTTCTGAACATTCTCGGCTGCAATCACAAGTTGAGGTTGCAAAGCTTCTAAATTAGCCTGCATAATGGCTACTTCGGCTCCAGCTGTAACCAGTTTTTCCACACCTATTTCGTATCGCTTCTTGCTATCAAGAATTTCTCTAAAAAGAAAAACAAGAATGCCAAACAACACATAAGATATATGTATAGAAGATGTTTCGTAATGAAGTTCTAATATTTTAACAAGGAGTTTTAGTTAGCAATTAAAACGAGTTTTATTAGTCCTTTTTTTAAACTTGTATTAAATTATTACAAAAAAATTACTAGTGTAAAAAAAGTTTCTAAATTTTTTGTAATTAGGTGATGAAAGAAATAGAAAGAAGGACAGGATAATTAAAGGATAAAGTGTACCAAAATTAAAATTAGGTCCAACCGCTTTCTAGAAAAAAAAAGTAATTATTGTCGCTATTTTGAGACCTTAATATATCGACAGATAGAACCAAAATTGCAAAATGTTTGGATCATTATTGCGGAACACCCTGTGTACGAGAAGTAAATATTTAGGTATACTAACTTTCTTTTCTTTTCTAAAAACATTTTAAATGTATTGATCATCTCCAGATACGACGTTGGCGTGACATAATTATGTCTTCTTAGTCTAACAAAGAATTCTTCCGATAAAACTTGCGTTGACACGTGAAACATTTGACACATATCGATGCACACTTTTTTTTCGTGTGCAGTGAGATCTAGCTCTCCTAAAAATCTAGTGGCCACGGCTAGTAAAGCGTCTTCAGGCCATGCCTAAAAATAAAAAATATCTGATGTGTACAACATATGACTTTCCTGTCTATTTATTACAGGCTTTTTCCGGTTATTTTATAAAATTTATTGTGTCACCCCTGTAAATGTTTAGAGTATGTAATAAATACACACATTTAGCACACATCTTGCAACAAAGAAAACTCTTAAAAGTCTAACGAATTATGAGACTGGTGAAGAAAAACTGGCAAAAGAAATCGACGATTTAATTAACAAAGAAGTAGAATGGATAACAGCAGAAATCAGAAACAATAGAAGAAAAAAACGAAAAGCTAACTTCCCTCCAGAAACTTTTCCTTTTCCTGGAGATAGCAAAAATTAACAAGAGAAAGAAATTGTCGAAAAAAACAGTGAAATTTCATCCGATAATAGCAAGCAACATCAATAAGTATGAAGAATTGCGCCATACAATGGCACTACATAATATATTCTTTCAAGTCACAGCTCTAAGCAATAACAAGTTAAAAATTAATACTAAACAAGAAGAAGACTTCAAAAATGTTATATCAACCTTGAATGTCAAAGACATAAATTGGAATTCCTAGGAAATTAAACAGAACAGAGACATTGAAGTAATGGTTAACGGTCTACCATCTACATCTAAACGAGAAGATATTGTTAAAGATTTGCAAAATCAAGGATTAAAATGTAAAGAAGCTGTCAATATAATAAAGAATGAAATAGAATTAACCGAGGATAAACTAAATAAAAAATCATTCATGCTATCCTTTGAAAATATTGAAGATATCAAGAAAATATACGAAATCAAAGCAATATCTAATCTAAGAGTAATAATAGAAACCATAAGAAAGTCAAAACTAGTTCCACAATGCAAAAATTGCCAGCTACTTGGACATACACACAATTTTTGCAAAAGAGAATCAAGATGCGTAAAGTGCGTAAGAAAACATCATAGGGAGGATTGTGTAAAAAAATCCAGAACAACAATCGAAGTGTATAAACTGCAGAATTGAACATCCTACTAACTACAGAAGATGTGAGGTAGCTAAAACCTTTCAGATACGAAAGGATAACACCACTTAACCTAAAATAATGAAGAGACAGAAGAGACCCAATAAACGCTTTTTTCAGGAAACAAACCAACAGGAGCAACCAATTTAAAGGTCACAACCAGCCATGAATCCCACGCAACAAATTGCACAGCATACTACACAGTTAACCAGTCGAGCAGAAAGTACCACTCATGAATTATTATTATCATCCTTAATAACTAGAATAGATTCACTCTCTGACAGGCTCCAGAAGCTACAAGAATTAAATAAACTCTAAATATATAACGAAACCACCAATAGACAAAAGAGATATTAGAATAGCCACTTGGAATGCCAATGGTATTCTCCAAAAACAAAATGATATCCAAGTTTTTTTGGACCAACCTTACAACGAACTCATACATTAAATTCATGGGATATAACTTCTATTACACCATCCATCCATCAAATAGAGCAAGAGAAGGAAGTGCTTTAATTCTTAAAAATAACATTGTCCACTATGAGGAACCAAGCATTCAAAAACCAGAAAATCAGGTAACCATCAGCACCATTAATAAAAATAATTCTTTATTTTCCATAAGACAGTAATTACAATTGTACAAGATTCGCCAATATATATAATTAAAAAGAAAAAAAATATTAGATGAAAAAAAAAATAATAAAGTATAGCATTAAATAAAAAATAAGGTTAAATCTAACTAAATACATAAAATAAAATTAAAAATGCTAAATACAATTCTAAACAGATTAAAATACTAAAAATATTAAAAATCAGCTAAGGAATAAAATCATTTATCCAGGAGATTATTTTTAAAAATATTAATATTTGCACATTTTTTTATTTCAGTTGGGAGTTTATTCAACATATTTAGGCCCAGAAAATTTGGTGCGTTGGAACCTTAGATTATACAAACCTTAGATGGAACATAAGACACTGCGCATAATCCCATTTCGAAATTATTCACACCCACCAATCGCAGTTGAGAACATCACATGTCAGAGCGTTGTCCATCCAAATTTAATGTGTCAACGAGAATTAATTTGGTATTTTAGTGACTTAAATTTTGGAAATTAACGTTGAAAATGCCAAGATGTGTTGTAAAAAGCTTTATTTATAATAAACCTGCGAAATGTGACGGAGATAAATGAAACTTACATTTATTTCGGTGAGATATTTAATTTTTAAGGATTCTGTCGACGTCCATATTTGTTGATTTGAAAATAAACAGTATCGGACTTGGTCATTGGTACATGTTATAAGTAGCAAATAAAGGTTATTATTATAAACTGTTTATTATTTCTTGTTTCATGGGGAATCTTTTTTTAGGAAGTGAAAAGAGAAACATACAATCAAATACAAAAATATCAATTTCATTGCCAATTTATTCGTTTCAAACTTGACAACTGGTTTCAATAGTTTTCTCAAAACTATTTATTTAGTAATTCTCTATAACAGTTTTACTCAAAGTGAGAGGGCTTCGCGAAGAAAATAATCACAATAAAAAAAAACAGTTCTATCGCCACAAAATGGAGGGACCTGGCTTGAGGACTTTTTTTTAAGAAGTAAGTTTTTTAAGTCACTAAGAGGAAGGAGGATATGATTTTGCTTTAGGACTTTTTTTAATTTTATTTTTCATGGGTGAAATGGATTTGGGATAATTTTTGCAAGGAATCTTTTGAATAAATCAAAAATAAATTAACAACAAATGATGATCTTGTGCGTTTTCAGCCTGAGTTGCCAATTAAATTATTCGTAGATGCATCAAATGTGGGAATAAGGGCCATGATATGTCATGTTTTTGAAAAAAATATTGACAAATCTATAGCTTCTGCTTCGCGTACCTTATCTAAGTCCGAACAAAAATATTCCCAAATTGAAAAAGAGGTCCTTGCAATAATTTTTGGCTTAAATAAATTTAATGAATATTTATATGGACATTTCTTTATCCTAGTTACAGATCACTTACCTCTGGTAACTATTTTTAACCCAGCTAAATGTATGCCCCAATTTTCAGCCAACAGACTACGTAGATGGGCAGTAATATTATCAAATTACAATTATAAAATTGAATATGTGAAATCGGAGCATAATATAAAGCCGATTTTTTATCATGTTTACCTATTGAAAGTCAAAATGAGAGTCAAAATAAAGAAACATTTGAAATACATTTTTTAAATTATGTGTTTTATGTGTTTAGGGCTCCGTTAAATATTTCGCTTTTCAAAAAGGTACCGTCGCCAAAAAAGTTTGAGAAACACTGCTCTATAATAATATGGGATCTATCCATTTAATTTACATTCTGCATTTTTGACATATAAAGTAATATATTTTGTAATCGCAGCAAGTGTCAAAACGATCTACTTTATGCAACCAGTTGCATAAAGTAGAACATTATGCAACTGATTACGAAAAGTTGATTATGTCACCAGTTACGAAATGAAAATAAATAAAACTGCCTCTTTTTTGGTTTTTAAGTTGAAAAATCGAAAAATCGAAAAATCGTGAAATCGAGAAATCGAAAAATCGAGTAATCTAAAAATCGAAAAATCCAAATATCCCAAAAACGAAAAATCGAAAAAACCAAATATCGAAAAAGAGGCAATGAATAGTGACATTTCACATTTGAAAATATGACATTACATTTAACAACAAAAAGAAAACAAAAAAGAAAAGCTGTAAATTGCGTTTTATTTTTAAAATAACACCGTTATTGAAAACGGCCCAGAAATGTTGGGGGTAAAATTTTGACGTACTCCTAAGGATAAAGGGTAAAAATGTTTTTTTTCAAATTTCTTGCTGGTAATGTCAAAAATTAGATCGGCAACACTGCACATGTCCCTTATTTTTATTATTACTATTGAAAAAAAAAACGTCGTAGGGCAATCAAATACAACAATTTTCTAAAATATTTGATTGGAAGTACCTACAGAAGAATTATGGTGAGTCATTTTTCAACACAATTTTATAAATATTCAAGTCAAAATTAGAAAAAATCTTGTATGTAAATACGTTACGAAATGCCATTTTGTGTAACTCGTTCATTTTTCGGGACCTCGCTCCGCTCGTTCCGCAAATATTTACTCGTTACACAAAATAAGGCATTTCGTAACTGGTTACATAAATAACTATTAATTGACTTCCTAATATTTTAATTCATTGAACGGTATATTTTCGGTAAATAATTAAATCATAAATAATTACCGGCATATAAGTACCAAAACATTTTTTTCTCTTCGAAGAGTAGGCCTGTCAAATAAACTTAAAATATTATAACGAACGAAAAGGTAACCCATTTCTAATAAAATTTAATTATTTATTTTATTTTGGTGTGATCGTACAAAAAATCTTGTGTGTAATTCGAGCAAAAAGTACTTTGGCTGTTTCGATAACTTATTGTCTCAACAGCTATTTTGTTGCAATAATTTTATAAACTTTTATTTAGGGTCGATTTCACCGTTTTGTTAAACGAAGTTTAAAATACTAAACGAAGATTAAAATGACATTTTTATATTAACAAAAACGAAGTTGAAATTACTAAATGGAGTTTAAAATGACATTTTTACATTAACAATGTCATTTTAATCTTCGTTTAATAATTTAAACTTCGTTTGAAACAACGGTGGAATCGGCCCTTAGCTAGTTATATAATGATAAAGTGTTATTGCCCTCATCATACATGAATCGTGCTAACAAATAAAGTCAAAAAAACGTCTCATAATTTTTCATCTTTTAGTTACCCACCAAAATTAGGTACTACAATACAAATATTTAAGTCCGGCCCAGAACGTCTCCCTACTCCTTCCACCCAATTTTTCGGTTTTGGCAAAATTTGCGCAGCGACAAATGCTTCCTATGTTACCTCTACCCTTTCTAACCTCTTTGGTTGGAACTAATGTACAACCTTGCATAAGGCACGTGCACTTCATCAACTTGTCTTGTTTGAAAACTATCAATATCTCTGTTAGGGC